TAGCCAGGGATGGTGGTGCATATCTGTAGTCCCAGGTACTCGGGAGGCTGAGACAGGAGAATCGCTTGAACTCAGGGGGCGGAGGTTGCAGTAAGCCAAGAACATGCCCCTGCACTGCAGCCTGTGTGACAGAGTGAGATTCCATCTCAAAAAAAAAAAAAAAGTCTATACTTTATTCAGATTTCCTTAGTTTCTCTCAATGTCCTTTTACTGTTCCAAGATCCCTTTTAGGATACCATATTGCATTTAGTTGTTATGTCTGCTTAAACTGCTCTTGACTGTGACAGTTTTTCAGTTTTAACACTTTTGAGGAGTACTAGTTAGGTAATTTGCAGAATGTCTTTTACTTGATATTTGTTTAATATATTTCTTATGAATAGACCAGGTACTAGTTTGGGGGAGGAAGGTCACAGAGGCAAAGTGCCATCCTTATCACATTTTTTCAAGGGTGTTTGCAGGTTTCTGGGACCCGGGGTGCAGGGGAGGTTTAGCTCGCTCCCCAGTGGGCTCTAGGCTTTTGGTCTCTCACTCACCCAAGAATGGGAGAGGGGACCACGCGGGGCGCTGTGCACTTGCAAGTAAATATCGGACCCCAAAGAGTTTTTGCAGAAAGTGATTTATTTATTTAGGCAGAGCAATAGAAAAAGAGAGAGAAAGATGAGAAAGAGAAAGCTTCCACGAAGATTGTGGAAGGGACTCTAATATGGAAGCCGCCGGCCGGGATGTGGGGGACAGGGACTTTTAACCTGGGAGGAATTCCCTCCCTCTCCAAGCCCTTTGACCTATGAAAAGTGTTCCTTTAAACTTCCACTGGAGTGATTGATCTTTGATTCTTCCTGCAGGATGGAAAATTTAAACAAAGATCTCTAATCCCCCGGATGGGTTGAGGGACGGGGCATGTCGCTGGGAAGATTCTTGCCCTTGAAACTAAGCCCCCTTGTGGACCCGGGAAGACAATGTATTCCCTCAAAGGGTACATGCCACCTTTCTTTACAGTCTCATATACAGTTGACCCTCAGGATTGGCTCCAGGGTACCCCGTAGACGCCAAAGTCCGCAGATGCTCAAATCCCTTACATAAAATGATGTAGTATAGTTGGACCTCCATATCTGTGGGCTTCAATCCATGGTTGGTTGAATTCTTAGATGTGAAACCCTTGAATACAAAGCGCCAACTGTATTCTGTAGCTATTCCTGCACTCTTTATTCTGTACCATTAAAAATCTTTGTCTATCTTTGTACCGTGTTGTTGTAAATAATGTAGCTTTAAAATTAGTCTTGATACCCTTTAGGGCAAGTTCTACCACTTTGTTCTTCTCCAAGGGTGTTTTAGAGAGTCTTGACCCTTTGCATTCTCATATAAGTTTTGAAATCAGCTTGTCAGATTCCACAAAATGCTTTTTGGAATTTTGATTGAGATAATGTAGAATCTATAAATAAATCTGGGGCCAGGAATGGTGGCTTATGCCTGTCATTCCAGCACTTCAGAAGGCTGAGGAAGGAGAATTGCTTGAGGTGAAGAGTTCAAGACCATCCTGGACAACACTCTGTGAAAACTCTCGCTGAGCCCGGTGGCTCACACCTGTAATCCCAGCGCTTTTGGGGGCTGAGGCAGGTAGATCACGAGGTCAAGAGATTGAAACCATTCTGGCCAACATGGTGAAGCCTGTCTCTACTAAAAATAAAAAAAGTTGGCTGGGCATCGTGGTGCCTGCCTGTAGTCCCAGCTACTTCAGAGGCTTTAACCTGGGAGGTGGAGGTTGCAGTGAGCTGAGATCATTCCATTGCACTCCAGCCTGGTAACAAAGCAAGACTCTGTCTCAAAAAAAAAAGAAAGAAAGAAAGAAAAACTGTCCATAAAAGCTTTTACAGAGAGTTGTGAATCTCCATCTCTACAATAACTTTTTAAAAAATTAGGCTGGTGGCATGCACTTGTAGTTTTAGTTATGCAAGAGAATCACTTAAGTTCGAGATTACAGTGAGCTATGAACTTGTCACTGCACTTTAGCCTGAGAAACAGAACAAGACCTTGTCTCCAAAAAAAAAAGAAAGAAAGAAAAAATGGGGGAGAGTTGATACGTTAACAATATTGAGTTCCCCAATCCACTTATTTAGATCTCCTCTAATACTTCCCAGCTTCTCTCATTAGCATTTTTGCTGCAGAGGTTTTGTATATCTTTTGTTAACTTATTCACAGGTAATTGATCTATTTTAAAACTATTTATTTATTATTATTGTAATTATTATTGAGAAGGAGTCTTGCTCTGTCATCCAGGCTGGAGTGCAGTGGTGCAATCTAGGCTCACTGCATCTCTGCCTCCTGGGTTTAAGCAATTCTGTCTCAGCCTCCTGAGTAGCTGGGATTACAGGTGGCCACCACCATGCCTGGCTAAGTTCTGAATTTTTTGTAGAAATGGGGTTTCACCATGTTGTCCAGGCTGCTCTTAAACTCTTGACCTCAGGTGATCCACTCGCCTCGGCCTCCCAAAGTGATGGGATTACAAGTATGAGCCACGGCACCCAGTCAAAACTTTTATTATGAAAATCTTAAACCAGTACCAAAGGAGACCAGGCCGGGAGTAATGGCTTATGCCTGTAATACCAGCATTTTGGGAGACTGAGGTGGGTGGATCACTTGAGCCCAGGAGTTCCAGCCTGGGCCATGTAGCCAAACCTTGTCTCTACGAAAAATACAAAATAAATTAGCTGGGCATGGTGATATGCACCTGTTGTTTCAGCTCTTTAAGGGGCTGAGATGGGAGAATCACTTGAGCCTAGGAGGTGGAGGCTGCAGTGAGTCGAGATCAGGTCACTGCACTCCAGCCTGGGTGACAAAGTGAGACATTGTCTTAAAAAAATAATAAATGGCCAGGCGCGGTGGCTCAAGCCTATAATCTCAGCACTTTGGGAGGCCGAAGCGGGTGGATCACGAGGTCAAGAGATCAAGACTATCCTGGTCAACATGGTGAAACCTCGTCTCTACTAAAAATACAAAAAATTAGCTGGGCATGGTGGCGCGTGCCTGTAATCCCAGCTACTCAGGAGGCTGAGGCAGGAGAATTGCCTGAACCAAGGAGGCGGAGGTTGCAGTGAGCTGAGATTGCCCCATTGCACTCCAGCCTGGGTAACAAGAGTGAAACTCCGTCTCAATAATAATAATAATAATAATAATAAATGATCGGGAGCAGTGGCTCACACTTATAATCCCAGCACTTTGGGAGGCTGGGGCCGGCAGAATTCAGGAGTTCAAGACCAGCCTGGCCAACATGGTGAAACCTCTGTCTCTACTAAAAGTACAAAATTAGCTGGGCATGGTGGCTCATGCCTGCAGTCCAAGCTACTGGAGAAGTTGAGGCAGGAGAATTGCTTGAACCCGGGAGGCGGAGGTTGCAGTGAGCCAAGATGGCATCACTGCACTTTAGCCTGGGCAACAGAGACTCCATCCCAAAAATAAATAAATAAAATAAATGCGTAAGCAAATAATTTTCTTATATTGCCTGGGCACAGTGGCTCACGCCTGTAATTCCACCACTTTGGGGGGCTGGAGGATTGCCGGAGTCCAGGAGTTCAAGATCAGCCTGGGGAACATAGAGAGCCCATGTCTACAAAAAATTTAAAAATTAGCCAGCCATGGTGGTGTGTGCTTCTGGTCCCAGCTATGGGAAAGGGTGAGGTGGGAAGATTGCTCGAGGCCAGGAAGTCAAGGTTTCAGTGAGCTGTGTTCACACACTCCAGCCTGGGTGATAGAGGGAAACCTTGTCTCAAAAAAAGAAAAAAAACAACAATTTCCTAATATCAAACGTCTATTCAGTATTAAAAGTTCCACTTGTCTTGTGTCACACTTTTTTTGTTCAATTTGCCTGTTTGGATCAGGATTCAAATAAGGTTCATACATTGTGACTGACTGATGTATCTGTTAAATCTCTTTTAGCTCATAACTTCCTCTTTCATTACTTTTTTATTTCTTTTCAATTTACTCATTGAAGGAACAGGTTATTTTTTCCTGTAGAGTTTCCCAAAGAGAGGATTTTTCAGAGTACATTCTAGTAGTGTCATTTAGCATGTTCTGCTTTCATCTTTTTGCTTGCTTGTTTTTTTAGAGACGAAGTTTCGCTCTTGTTGCAATTGCCCGACCTTGGCTCACTGCAACCTCCGCCTCCTAAGTTCAAGTAATTCCCCTGCCTTAGCCTCCAGAGTAGCTGGGATTAAAGGCTCGTGCCACCATGCCTGGTTCATTTTTGCATTTTTAGTAGACACAGGATTTTACCATGTTGGCCAGGCTGGTCTTGAACTCCTGACCTCGTGACCCACCCACCTTGGCCTCCCAAAGTGCTATGATTACAGGCGTGAGCCATCAAGCCAGGCCAAATCATTTTGTATTAATACTAAAACCTGTAAGGATGGTACAGAAAAAGTGAATAAATTGATAGAAATTATTATTGAAACAAAATATTTAACAAAGGGAATTTAGCAATATATGAATGATAATACATCTCACTATTGTTAACTATATGCATCTGTGACTTCCATTGGTTTTCAGTTAGGCCCATTTTTTGGTCTGTGTACTTGTTTTTTTTTGAGACTGAGTTTCGCTCTTGTTACCCAGGCTGGAGTGCAATGGCACAATCTCAGCTCACCGCAACCTCCGCCTCCTGAGTTCAGGCAATTCTCCTGCCTCAGCCTCCTGAGTAGCTGGGACTAAGGCATGCACCACCATGTCCAGCTACTTTTTGTATTTTTAGTAGAGACGGGGTTTCACCATGTTGACCAGAATGGTCTCGATCTCTTGACCTCGTGATCCACCCGCCTCGGCCTCCCAAAGCTCTGGGATTACAGGCGTGAGCCACCGCACCCAGCCTAGTATACTTGTTTTTATACGTAATTATTTATCTGTTCACTTCTTTTGATTCACTCCTAGAATTTTTTCAGCCCCACTTAAACATTGTTTAGATATGGATGGTTTTGGTAAAGTGCTTTTCTGTGTTTCTTTTTGAAATTAAGGAGAAACATGGCGGCTATCCTTCTCTCACATTGAAAAGGAAATTTTGAGCAATCATGGAAAATCTAAAACGTGCTGTGAAAAGAAAGAAGAGAAATGTTGCAGGTAACAGCCTTAGTTTGTTAAATGACAGATTATCTATACCAGACGTCCCCAAACTACGGCCTGCGGGCCGCATGCAGCCCCCTGAGGCCATTTATCCGGCCCCCCGCCACACTTCAGGAAGGGGCACCTCTTTCATTGGTGGTCAGTGAGAGGAGCACAGTATGTGGCGGCCCTCCAACCGTCTGAGGGACAGTGAACTGGTCCCCTGTGTAAAAAGTTTGGGGACGCCTGATCTATACTATGCTTAATTCTTTGTTGACCCCATACCTCAAACCTTAAGAACTGAGCTGGGTTGGGTCTGGGGATCAGGGCAGGATTGGGTTGACCTGGGGAGAGTGAGTATGAAACCAGAGAAGCTAGATCCAAAGGGCCAAGGAAAGGGTGTTGTTAGAAGGCAAGGCCAGGGAGTAGTAGTTCTGAACCCTGGATCACATGAATGTGTTTTTGTATAGATGTGTCAGTAGGACCGAGTGAGAGGGTATGAACACTAGCCATACAATTCAATGGATCATAGTATTTTGCTTGTTTAAAGGTAATGAATATTAATGTCATATAATTGGAGGAGGCCAAAGGATCACTCTTTTTGGATACTGGGCTTGCTTTGGGATAGTTGGGTTGTGCTGATGGCTAGGGGTTGACTGGTCAAACTGAAAACAACACTAACTGAGTAATCGATTCTGTTTTTTGAGACAGAGTCTCATTCTGTCGCCAGGCTGGAGTTCAGTGGGGTGATCTCGACTTACTGCAACCTCTGCCTCCCGGGTTTAAGCGATTCTCCTGCCTCAGCCTCCTGAGTAGCTGGGACTACAGGTGCATGCCACCAAGCCCAGCTATTTTTTGTATTTTAGTAGAGATAGGGTTGCACCATGTTGGCCAGGATGATCTCCATCTCTTAACTTCATGATCCGCACCCCTCCTCCCTGGGCTCCCAAAGTGCTGGGATTACAGACTTTCACTCTGTCACCCAGACAGGAGTGCATTGACCCAATCACGGTTCACCACGGTCTCAGTCTCCTGGGCTCAAGCAATCATCCTACTTCAGCCCCCAAGTAGATGAGACTACAGGTGTATGCCACCATGTTCGACTAATTAAAAAAAAAAAATTTGCAGAGGGCCTGTTGGCTCACACCTGTAATCGCAGCCTAGCAACATGGTGAGGCTCCTGCCTCCATAAAAAATTTAAAAATTAGCCAGGCAGGCATGGTGCGGTGGCTCACACCTGTAATCCCAGCACTTTGGGAGACTGAGGTGGGTGGATCACGAGGTCAGAAGTTCAAGACCAGCCTGGCCAGCATGGTGAAACCCCATCTCTAATACAAAAAATTAGCTGGGCATGGTGTTGCATGCCTGTAATCCCACTTACTCAGGGAGAATTGCTTGAACCCAGGAGGCGGAGGTTGCAGTGAGCTGAGATTGCACCATTGCACTCCAGCTTGGGTGACAAAGCAAGACTCCTTCTCAGAAAAAAAAAAAATTAGCCAGGCATGGTGACTGGTGCCTGTGGTCCCAGCTTATTGGAAGGCTGAAGTGGGAGAATCGCTTGAGCCCAGGAAATTAAGACTGCAGTGGGCCACAATTGTGCCACTGAACTCCCACCTGAGTGACATAGTGACACCCTGTCTCAAAAAAGATTTATTTTTTATTGGTAGGGATGGTGATCTCCCTTTGTTACCCAGGCAGGCTGGTCTCTTAACTCTTGGGTTCAAGAAATCTTCCCACCTTGGCCTCCCAAAGTGTTGGGATTACAGGCATGAGACACTGTACCCTGCCTTTTTTTTTTCGTAATAGCATGTGCACCATAAAAAGCTAAGATTGAAAAGGAATTGTTAATTTGAGTTTCTAAAGTTGGCCAGTATTGTCCAGGCATGGTGGCTTATGCTTGTGATCTCAGCACTTTGGTAGGCTCAGGAAGGTAGATCACCTGAGGTCAGGAGTTCTAGACCAGCCTGGCCAACATGGTGAAAACCAGTCTCTACTAAAAATACAATTAGCCAGTCACAGTGGGGCATGCCTGTAATCACAGCTCCTTGGGAGGCTAAGGCAAGAGAATCACTGGAACCTGGAAGATGGAGGTTGCAGGGAGCTGAGATCATGCCACTGCACTCCAGCCTGGGCAACAGAGTGAGACTTGGTCTCAATAAAAAAATAAATAAATAAAAAAGAAAGAAAGAAATATTGTTGATAAAGTTAAATAGTTTCATACATAATAAATTTTGTCAACTACTAAATAACTAGATGAAATGGCAGATTATCTGTGGTACCCCTAATAATATAAGTAATTATGTGATACAATCAGTGGATTTTAAAAAAGAAAAATAAAAATAATGTAAATATTTTCAGTTCAATAAAGTAAAGTAGTCTTATAAAAATTAAAACAGCCGGGCGCGGTGGCTCAAGCCCGTAATCCCAGAACTTTGGGAGGCCAAGGCGGGTGGATCACGAGGTCAAGAGATCGAGACCATCCTGGTCAACATGGTGAAACCCCGTCTCTACTAAAAATACAAAAAAATTAGCTGGGCATGGTGGCGCGTCCCTGTAATCCCAGCTACTCAGGAGGCTGAGGCAGGAGAATTGCCTGAACCCAGGAGGCGGAGGTTGCAGTGAGCCGAGATCGCGCCATTGCACTGCAGCCTGGGTAACAAGAGCGAAACTCCGTCTCAGAAAAAAAAAAAAAAAAAAAATTAAAACAAGATTTTTGTAGGTACTGAATAACTGGATGAACAGTATAAATATCTACTTAGGAGGCTGAGGTGGGAGGACTGCTTGAGGGGAATGTGGGGAGGACAGAAGTTGCAGTGATCCGAGATTGCATCTCTGCACCCCAGGCTGGGTGACAGAGCAAGACCCTGTTTAAAATAAATAAATAAATAAATAGCTGGGCACGGTGGGTGTTGGGTACCAGCCCCAACCCTCTACGTGGGTGCCCTTAGTCTCGACGGTGACGAGGGATTGAGAAAAGGAAATAAAGACAGAAATACTGGCCGGGCGCGGTGGCTCAAGCCTGTAATCCCAGCACTTTGGGAGGCCGAGGCGGGTGGATCACGAGGTCGAGAGATCGAGACCATCCTGGTCAACATGGTGAAACCCCGTCTCTACTAAAAATACAAAAAATTAGCTGGGCATGGTGGCACGTGCCTGTAATCCCAGCTACTCAGGAGGCTGAGGCAGGAGAATTGCCTGAACCCAGGAGGCGGAGGTTGCGGTGAGCCGAGATCGTGCCATTGCACTCCAGCCTGGGTAACAAGAGCGAAACTCCGTCTCAAAAAAAAAAAAAGACAGAAATACAAGAGTATAACTTACAGCATGGGTCCAGGGGACCACCGCAAGCATGGGAAGCACGTTGGCCCCGAGCTCTGGGCTCCATACACTTTTATTATGTGCACAATCTCATTGATCTTATGGGTGTGGAAGGGGAGGGTGAAGGAGTAGGTAAGATATCGGGTGGGAAAGCACTTGAGATCCTTCTAAGACATGCTAAACTAGTACTCTGAGTTCATCACTGATTGTTATCAGGGTGTGGCTGCAAGAGAAGTATAGCAGATGAGCCACCTGGTCAGACCACACCCAATGTATCAAGGGGCTTTTATCTCCTGAGCATTGAGGACATAGAGCAATTAAAATCACTCCATAGTCCCAGAACCTAGGCAGAGCCTGAGGCGTTCCGTGATCTCTGCCCTGCAAGGCTTTTCTCCTCCTTGCCAGCTCCCATCTGCAAAGACCCTCCCATATCTTGTGAGCAGGGGTCACCTCCCTTCTCAGAGATCTTTGCACAAGCCCTCTTTACGAGGCCCTCCTGCAGTCTCCATGCTGAGAAGGCATTCGTGAGAACAGAGCAGTATTCCCTGCTCCGCAACCATCCCGAGGTGTTCCCTGGTATTACTGCGCTCTCGATGGTCTTTACCTTAGGCCTCCTGTTGCCGCCTGATTTCTCATTAACTGCACCAATAATATAGTTTACTTCAGTGTATGAACTTAAGTGTACTCTGAGCCAAGCAAGCTTAGAATTATTTAGATAGAATTAACATAGGTCTCCCCTTGGCCATCGTGACCTACAGTGAGTCATGCCTATAATCCTAGCACTCTGGGAGGCTGAGGTGGGCGGATCAGGAGCTCGAGACCATCCTGGCTAACACGGTGAAACTCATCTCTACTAAAAATACGAAAAAACTTTTAGTGGCACATGCCTGTAGTTCCACCTACTCAGGAGCCTGAGGCAGGAGAAGCACTTGAACCCAAGAGGCGGAGGTTGCAGGGTTGCAGTGAGCCGAGATGGTCCCACTGCACTCCAGACTGGATGACAGAGTGAGACTCTATCTCAAAAAAAAAAAAAAAAAGTGTAAATATCTGTTAGCTTCATACAGTTGAAGAAATTGAGAATAAAATATTTAAGCTAAGAATGGGAAAGAGGGCAAAAAAATTTGTTTTTTGTTAAAACTCCTGCTTTGAATGAAGAGACCCACCCCCCCAAAACAGGCTTTGTGTGAGCAACATGGCTGTTTATTCACCTGGGTACAGGTGGGCTGAGGCCGAAAAGGGCGTTAGTGAAGGGCCATGGGATAGGAGTTGGTTTTATAGGTTGGGGCAAATCTTTTGGGGAGGGGGCAGGGGTGTTACAGAGTAAGATTAGTTACAGTGGTGGGGGTAGGGGAAAGGAGTATACAATAGCATAAGTTTAGTTACAGTGGCGGTGGGGTAGGGTTAGGTGTTAAGAGTAGTTAAGATGGTAGGGTGGGGGGAGGAGTACTCACATTACCATCATCACAGTTAAGATGGCAGGGTGGGGTGAGAAGCTTAATGTCTAGGGTAAGCTCAGCTGGGCCATCAGGGATAATGGCAAACTGGGGTGGGGGATTGGGGCTGTTAGGGGGGGATGTGATTAGCCGAGGCAGAGAGAACTTCAGACTTTCTGGGTCCGGGCTTGCATATGGAGGCCCGACGTTTTTGAAACTTCAAACCATATATTTGAAAACATGATCAAATTTTAGTGTGACTGTAATTATGTTTCTATTTTATTTTATTTTTCTGAGACAGAGTTTTGTTCTTGTTGCCCAGGCTGGAGTGCAATGGCATGATCTTGGCTCAATGCAACCTCTACCTCCTGACCTCAAGCAATTCTGCCTCAGCCTCCTGAGTAGCTGGTATTACAGGCATGTGTCACCACACCTGGCTAATTTTGTATTTTTAGTAGAGACGGAGTTTCACCATGTTGGTCAGGCTGGTCTCAAACTCCTAACCTTAGGTGATCTGCCTGCCTTGGCCTCCAAAGTGCTGGGATCACAGGCGTGAGTCACCCGCCTGGCCTATATTTATATATCTTTATAGTTTATGTTTTTTCTATGAGATGCCTAAAATCTTTTGTTAAGTGTAAATAACTAAGTTTTCTCTTTTTTTATTCAACAGGAAAGATTGTTTAAAACTGATGAAATACCTTTTAGAACAGCTGAAAGAAAAGTTTAAAAGTGAAAAACATATGGATAAATTCTGTTCTTATCATGTGAAAACTGCTTTCTTTCACATATGTACCGAGAACCCTCAAGACAGTCAGTGGGACCCCAAAGACCTGGAGCTCTGCTTTGATAACTGCCTGACATACTTTCTTCAGTGCCTCAGGACAGAAAAACTTGAAAATTATTTTATTCCTGCATTCAATCTATTCTCTAGCAACTTAATTGACAAAAAAAGTAAAGAATTTCTGTCAAAGCAAATTGAATATGAAAGAAAAAATGAGTTTCCAGTTTTTGATGAATTTTGAGATTCTGTTTCGAAAGAATCTGAGTGACTCTCAAGCCCGGAGAATACCAAAAAAATTTTAAACGAGGCCAGGTGAGGTAGCTCAGGCCTGTAATCCCAGCACTTTGGGAAGCTGAGGCAGGCAGATCACTTGAGGTCAGGAGTTTGAGACCAGCCTGGCCAACATGGTGAAACTATCTCTACTAAAAATGTAAAAATTAGCCAGGTGTGGTGACGCACACCTGTAATCCCAGCTACTTGGGAGGCTGAGACATGAGAATTGCTTGAACTCGGGAGGTGAAGGTTGCAGTAAGGTGAGATGGCAGCACTGCACTTCATCCTGGGTGACAGAATGGGACTCTGTCTCAAAAAAAAAAATTAATTAAAAAAAAGAAAATTAGGAAATTATTAAAACTTTTTTTAAAAAAGCAACAAAATAAAAAAGTATAGTGACTGTAATAATTGGAACGTTTGAAACTTGTCACAGCAATAATTGACTAAAATGAATGTAAATAATTGTTCAATTTTCAGTTTGTTGTAATAAACTCGAATCAGTGTAAAGGATTGACTATCCTAGGAAAAAGATTAGTCAAGGAATAAGAAGCAAAAGCAGTATTTGAAATCTAAAAATATTACCATGCTCGCTTTATCATACATGCAAATAAATGACATTTTCAGATTGGAATGAAAAGAGGACAATGTACATATCACCTTAAATTCATAAAGTACTTACTAAAAAACACCTCTCACCTAACACAGGTATGTGGAAGGTTGTAAAAGACAATATTAGAAATGATCATTGTCTCCATAAAACCGGTAGGTGTTAAGTATATTTTGATGGAAACAATGCCCTGTGTTATATGTTTGAGTAAGAAGGAAAGAAATGAAAAAAGTTCTACATTGTCTCTGTATGTCTCAGGAAATACACAATCTTACAAGAAAATGTAAGGTACTTTATTTTAATATATATGACTAAATGTAAAACCTGACATTTTCTGTTATTTATTTTTACTTTAAGTAACTTTTTTATTTTGAGGTAGCATTCAGCCTAGAGCAACTATTTGTTAAATTTTTCCTGTTCATATATTTTGCACATTTTCTTATCTTCTTCTCATTGTTTTGTAGAAGTTTTGTTTTGTTTTGAGACAGAGTCTCACTCTGTTTCCCAGGCTGGAGTGCATCTCTGCTCACTGCAACTTCTGTCTCCTGGGTTCAAATGATTCTCCTGCCTCAGCCTCCTGAGTAGCTGGGATTCGGGCGCCTGTCATCTCGCCTGGCTAATTTTTGTATTTTTAGTACAGAAGGGGTTTCACCATCTTGGCCAGGCTGGTCTTGAACTCCTGACCTCATGATACACCTGCCTCGGCCTCCCAAAGTGCTGGTATTACAGGCGTGAGCCACCGTGCCTGGCCTAGAAGTTTTTAATGTATTTGGGGTACTTATCCTTCATTTGTTGTCTGTGTAACAAATAACTTGTCGTATGGATTGTCTTCAGCGTTTCACTAAACAACGTTTTCTGTGTTTTATTGTGAAGATTTTAAAATTTTAATGGATTTTTTTTCTCATTCAAACCGTTGAAAATAAACTGGAGTTGAATTTTTTATGGTTTTTACTTTATACATCTTGTTTAACAACCTATTATGTTTGAACATACTAAGAGAAACATTAGACATCTGAGTTTTGGGGACAATTAATGATAAATAGAACACTATCCAAATAAAATAATCTAAGCAACTTGTAACTCCATAAAGAAAGGATGTGTGGAAGAAAATCTGGTTTGAGAATATTGCTCAGCAGTTAAGTATTGACAAAGTCTTAGTAACTATTGACTATTAATCTTATTGAAGTTATGGACTGTTATCTGACTTGTCTCTTGTCTCTACTAAAAATACGAAATTAGCTTGGTGTGGTGGTACCTGCCTGTACCAGCTATTCAGGTGGCTGAGGCAAGAGAATTGCTTGAACCTGGGAGGCCGAGTTTTCGCCATTGCACTCCAGCCTAGGCAACAAGAGGGGAACAGTCTCAAAAAGGAAAAGAGAAAAACATGTCAGCCAGCACTGTAGCCTCATTTGAGGCTTGACTGGAGAGGGATCCATTTTTGTTGGCAGAATTTAGTTCCTTACATTTGTAGGACTGAGGGCTTCAGTTTTTTGCTGTCAGCCAGAGATTGCCCTCAGTTACTAGAAGCTGCCTTCAGTTCCTTACCATGTGAGCCTCCCAACATAGGCAGCCCACAACAGTAGCTCAATTCTTCAAAGCCACCAAGGGAGGTACTTCGGCAAGAGGGGTGCCACAAACTTGTTTAACACAATTATGTACACATAATTATGTACAGCCCATTGCCTGTACTGTATTCTATTGATTGGAAGCAAGTCACAGGTCCCACTCTTAACCAAGGGGAGAGGAATCACTCAAAGGTGTTATCTCAGGTGCCATCGATACAATTAGGGGGAAAACAGTTCCCATAAGACCACCCTCAGGTTTGATGAAAGACTCGCAGAACTCACTGAAACCATTATGCTCACTGTTGCAGTTTATACTTGGCAAGCATTCGAGTTTAAATCAGCCAAGGGAAGAAGTGCAAGGGCAGAGTTTGAGTACCAAACATGGCACTTTCTGTTGTCTTTTGGTGGAGTCATGGACATGTTATTCTCTTGGCATCAGTGTGCCAGTACACAGAATATTGCCAGCCAGGGAAGCTCACTTGGGCTGTGTCCAGAGTTCTTACTGCAGCTAGTGGTTGGCTGTCCATATGCCTAACCTGTCTCCTGCTTCTCTGGAGCGCCAACAGTTAAGGTCATACCATGACTCAAAGACCCCACCATAAATCACCTTATTATACTTCCTGGCACATTCCAAGAGTTTAGTCATTACCTCTCAGAAGTCAGGGGCAAAAGTGAGATGTTTCTTTGGGTTAGGTTAAATTCTTCACTACATAGATGTGAATCTCGGGAGCTAGGAGGGGGACCACAGGACAACGCTGAGGGTCCAACTGTCACAGATATGCAAGAATGGAATTACTTGTTTACAGTGGGAAGTCAGTAGATGGCAATTTTTTTTTTTTTTTTTTTTTTTTTTTGAGACGGAGTTCCACTCTTGTTACCCAGGCTGGAGTGCAATGGCGCGATCTCGGCTCACCGCAACCTCCGCCTCCTGGGTTCAGGCAATTCTCCTGCCTCAGCCTCCTGAGTAGCTGGGATTACAGGCACGCGCCACCATGCCCAGCTAATTTTTTGTATTTTTAGTAGAGACGGGGTTTCACCATGTTGACCAGGATGGTCTCGATCTCTCGACCTCGTGATCCACCCGCCTCGGCCTCCCAAAGTGCTGGGATTACAGGCTTGAGCCACCGCGCCCGGCCAATTTTTTTTTTTTTTTTTTGAGACGGAGTTTTCCTCTTGTTAGCCAGGCTGGAGTACAATGGCACGATCTCGGCTCACCGCAACTTCTGCCTCCTGGGTTCAGGCAATTCTCCTGCCTCAGCCTCCTGAGTAGCTGAGATTACAGGCACGCACCACCATGCCCAGCTAATTTTTTTTTTTTGTATTTTTAGTAGAGACGGGGTTTCACCATGTTGACCAGGATGATCTCGATCTCTTGACCTCGTGATCCACCCACCTCGGCCTCCCAAAGTGCTGGGATTACAGGCTTGAGCCACCGTGCCCAGCTGATGGCAAATTTTTAAAACCAAGAAATTGCGATAAGCAAGTTGTTAATGGCAAAAAGATGAAAAGTTTACATCTTGGGAGTAAAAAATGAATGGTGAAAGGGCTCAGACTACTTTTGTTAAAGTAAAATGATTTTAGTTTTTTGGAAATATGAATAAAATACTTGGCAAAAACCAAACCAAAACAGAATAAAACCAAAAAAAAAGACATGTTATATTACTGATCATGGCCAAGTACAACAGCATTTATTAGTGGAATATAAAAAATAAATTTTATGCCGGGCGCGGTGGCTCACGCCTATAATCCCAGCACTTTGGGAGGCCGAGGCGGGTGGATCACGAGGTCAAGAGATTGAGACCATCCTGGTCAACATGGTGAATCCCCATCTCTACTAAAAATACAAAAAATTAGCTGGGCGTGGTGGCGCGTGCCTGTAATCCCAGCTACTCAGGAGGCTGAGGCAGGCGAATTGCCTGAGCCCAGGAGGCGGAGGTTGCGGTGAGCCCAGATCACGCCATTGCACTCCAGCCTGGGTAACAAGAGCAAAACTCCGTCTCAAAAATAAATAAATAAATAAATTTTATTATTTGTATGTGCTTCTTTTCCCCAGCTTTGACTACCTGGATGCTTTTGGAAGTTTGAGCTCCCAAGAAATTCCACAGCTATAAAGGCTCCTACAATGTCACTGAGTGAGGTTAAGGTTCTACTCTTAGGGATTCTGGACAACTAGATAGACCCCTAGGAACTTAAAAAACAGCTGCTTTTATTAGGATTCGTTTAACTTGGAGACAATACAGCCATTGTCCACTAAAACACAATCCAATTTGGATATAGGCCTTCTTCAGGTTTACTAAGTTCTCCACATGAATACTAAGACTAGGTAACCATCTTTTCTGGCAACAGACAACCTTTTAAATAAGCTTTTTATAGTCTAAGACTTCTGGCAGGGAAATAGAAATAAAAAATAAAAACACACTTGTAATCCCAGCAGTTGGGGAGGCCAAGGCAGGTGGATCACTTGAGGTCAGGAGTTCAAGACCAGCCAGACCCATATGGTGAAACCCTGTCTCTACTAAACATACAAAAATTAGCCGGGCATGGTGGTGCACACCTGTGGTCCCAGCTACTTGGGAGGTCGAGACAGGAGAATCGCTTGAACCCAGGGAGTGGAGGTTGCAGTGAGCTGAGATTATGCCACTGCACTCCAGCCTGGGCAACAAGAATGAAACTCCATCTCAAAAAAAATGTTCATGGAAATGCAATTTGATTTTCCAGGGGTTTTCGCATGAAACCATAGGGTACAATGGAAAGATAAACTGGTGTTGCACATTTTGACCTCATGAAATAATTTACTGTTTCATTTAAAAGTGGGTAAAGGATAATTTATGAAAAGTATACCCCAATAATATACTATTTAGCAAACACAAAATGTTATACCGAAAGACAAATTATCAACTTGTCTTTTTATCACAGAAATGAACATTTGTTGTTAACAGTATTTTTTTCAGGTTCTGATTCTTTCTTTGAAAACATCTTTTTCTCTGCCATGACAAAATCTGAACATTAAAATCTGAAAGACTGACCTTACGACATACAGCAAAATTATAAGAGAAAGTTTGAAAGATTAAAAGCAAAACATTCTAATGCTACATTCCTTAATAAAAATACAGGAGACAACTTCCAAGTTTAATACTTCTACTTTTATTAAAGAAAGTATAAAACACTTAATTCTACATTTTCAAACACTATTATTCTAAGAATCACTCAAATCACTCCAGTCTGTTCATATTTCCAGCACGTCCAATACTTCCGTCTTATTAGATTTCTAAAAAATCTTGAATTCTGAAAAAATAGATAAAAAATGTAAATTACTGACCCTAACATTGTTTTTAAAAAGCTTAATTGTGCCAGAGACGGTGCATTACACCTGTATCCCTGCACTTTGGGAGGCTGACGTGGGCGGATCACCTGAGGTTGGGAGTTTGAGACCAGCCTGACCAACATGGAGAAACCCCATCTCCACTAAAAAATACAAAAATTAGCTGGGCATGGTGGCTCATGCCTGTAATCCCAGCACTTTGGGAGGCCGAGGCGGGTCGATCACAAAGTCAAGAGATCGAGACCAACCTGGTCAACATGGTGAAACCCCGTCTCTACTAAAAATACAAAAAATTAGCTGGGCATGGTGGCTCATGCCTGTAATCCCAGCTACTTGGGAGGCTGAGGCAGGAGAATTGCTTGAACCCAGGAGGCAGAGGCAGGAGTTTTGCTAAGCCAAGATCGCACCATCGCACTCCAGCCTGGGCTACAAGAGGGAAACTCCGTCTCAAAAAAAGAAAAAAGAAAAAAAAAAAAAGGCTGAATTGTGATGAAATAAACATACCCAAATTTACCACAACCAGTTTTAAGTGTGCAGCTCTGTAGTGGAGACAGCATTTCTGTTTTCCATGCTGGAATGCAGTGGCACAATCTCAGCTCACTGCAACCTCTGCCTCCCAGAATCAGGTGATTCTCCTGCCTCAGCCTCCCATGTAGCTGGGATTACAGATGTGAGCCACCATGCCAGGCTAATTTTTTATTTTTAGTAGAGATGGCGTTTCACCCATGTTGGCCAGGATGGTCTCGAACTCCTGACCTCAAGTGATCCGCCCACCTTAGCCTCTCAGTGCTGGGATTACAGGTGTGAGCCACTGTGTACGGCCTCCTAAACTTTCATACCATGAAAAACTGTATCCAAACAATTCCCCTACCCACTTCCCAAGCCCTTGGTAAACCACCATTCTACTTTTTGGCACTGAATTTTACTATCCTAAGCACCTCCTACAAGTGGGATCATATAGAATGTCCTTGTAATTGGCTTATTTCTCTAACCATAATATCCTCAAGGTTCATCTATGACAGAATTTTCTTCCTTTTTAGGGCCGAATGATATTCCATTGTGTTTATTCATTCACTAATGGATGCTTGGGTTGTATGCCCTTGACTATTATGAATAGTGCTGCTATAAACATGAGTACAAAAAGACCTGGTTTCATTCATTTCCATGTATACCCAGAAGGATTGACTAATAATGATGAGTAATACCTAGTTTAACATAATAAGTACAATATACAATATAATGCTCATTGCAATAAACATTATTCACAGAGCCTCGTTTACGAAAGCAGGCATTTTAAGGTCCGTGTATTACTGAACTTTTACCTCTACCACACAAGTACAGAAGACATTAATTAAACTTCTTGGGCCTTCCTTGAGGTCTTTCCATTTTTCTTTCCATTTCTCTTCTCTGTTGACGCGCCTTGAACCTCTCAGCCATTGAGAAAAGGTCGTCAGGAATAGTCTGTAATTATTGAACGTGTTTAGTATTCTGCGTTTTCTACAATGCTAAATAAAATGCCTCCAAATTATTTCAGATAATCGCACAGCAGGTTACATGAAACACAGGTATCTTGATTAAACCCTACATCCATCTGCAGGCTACAAAATTTGTTGCTTCAGCTTCTTCCAAGTGCCCTTAATGTGCCTTTATATAGCAGTGTTTTCTACATATTCTTTCTTACCTCTGGGCCTGAATATGTTCCCCCTGCTTGATTGTTTATCCCATATTCTACAACTCTCCCCACCTCCACTCTACTGGTTTCTTCCTCAGCAGGGCTTTTATCGCTCATCCCCATGAGGTTAAGTTTCTCAGTCATATACTCCCATAGTTTCTTATCATTGCCCCCAAAACATGCTGAAAAACTTTAATCTGAACTTTCCTGATAAATAGCAAGCCATAGTACCTGACATAACTGAGAAACTTATAAGAGTAGACTTGTAATGAATTGCACACAGAGTCTCACCTGATTTGCTCTTTGCAGAATATTAACCAATTCAGGGGCAAACCTCCAGTCATTTCTAGTCATAGTTGTAATGGAAACACCAGTCCTCCTTTAGTGTGGGGGAAAAAAACTCATGTCATCTCATTTATAATATGCATTCATGATTCAGTTAATCCAGAATATGACAAATGAAAACTTTTTCACAGAAGCTAGAATGTATTAAAATTTAGAGTCAAACAGATTTGGAATCTGAATCTGCTGTAGTTTATGCTGTTATGGGAGTATATGATGGTAGCTCTCTTAAAAGGAAAAAGGTCTTCTCATATCCATGCCAATTTGTCAATAACCTTCAGAGTAACCACTGGGTATTCGTGTTGACACTAGATATAAAACAAATAGATGTATGAAGCTAATCATGGACAGAATTTCATTGAGTCTGAACAAGCCAAATGAACAGGGATAAATAAAGTAGCCAAGCGGAATCTAGGAAGTAGCTGAAAATTTTAGGCAATAGAATAAAATGTTTTTCTGGGCAGGAAGTTTGTGAGGGGAGTACTGAGAATCCAGAATTGGCCTTTCATGAGTGGACTAAGCTTACTTACCCTGCTCTTCCCGTGCGCCCTATTCGGTGTACATATTCTTCAATGTTCCGTGGAAAGTCAAAATTATAGACATGTGTAATATCGTGGACATCAAGCCCTCTCGAGGCTAGATCAGTTGCAATTAGTATTCTCACTTTGCCTAAAAAGTAAAGCCAAATGAACATTTAACCATTCTGGTATAAACCAACCCAAGATCTAAAAAGTGTACTTGCCCTGATTTAATCAGTCTTATTTCTTACTGCTCACATTAAAATGCTTACTTAGTTAAAATGGATTTTTCTTTAACTGCTGGCAAGTTACAAGATACCATCGTTCAGCAAATGGTCCCTAAACCCTTTAAACCATGACAGAAACGTACATTTTTCAGGTCACCTCAGATATATTTCCTGTTGCATATTAATTAATACCTTGAGATCCAGGTTTAAAGTGTTTTGTGTTTAGTTAATGTTTAGAGGCAGATTAATGTTTAGAGCTCTAAGAGTGTAGTTTTAGGATACAGAAGATGAGGACAGATCTTAGAAATAAAGGCTTTCATGAAAAGATGCTGTCACTCAGCCAAGCCGAGGTATTGCTTATTTTAAACTGTATGAAATTATATAACATACCTGTTTTAAAGTTCTCTAATGCTTTTTCCCGGTCTCTCTGTTCTCTATCTCCATGTAGAGACTCTACTGACATATTTTCAAGTATTAGCTCACTTGATAAGTGATCCGCGCTGAAGCAAATCATAAAGACAGCATACTTAGGTACTTATTCTAATACCACCAGTTTTATTTCTATTAGAAAAAATCTGAAGTAATATAACATACATATCACCCCTATTTGAAATTAGTATATAAATAGAAATGATCCTTGACAAGTCAACTTAATTACAGTGGACATCCAAGAAAAAATACTTACACAGCTTTTCGAGAAACAAAGACTATCACTTTGTCTGTGGGTGACATACTCTGTAGAAAAGTTTGTATGTGAATCCATTTCTCTTCCTCAGTGGTTACAATTATATTTTGTTTCACTGAACTTACGGCCTAAAGGATTCAAAGAACACAAGTCATCAAGTTGATGAAGATTTAAGAGGAGACCACATACATCAGCTCAATAGATCTTTTCTCATTGGTTGTTTTTAATCAACTGCTAAGCAAAATGGCCGACGTCCTAAAAATAGTTTCTACTCAAGATTTGTATCTGAGACTTCACTTGGCCTCAAAATACTATTAGTACCATTGCTTCAAACTATTTGTCTCTAATCATTTAATTTTATTTTGAGAACAGCCTCACTCTTTCGCCCAGGCTTGAGTGCAGTGGCCGGATGTCTCATTTTATAAAACAAACTGCTACTGGATTGCTAATGAAATCCCTAATGAAATAAGGGGTCTAAGCAATGACCCATTATTATTTATGTTTAAGTGAAAGGCCAATTTCATCTATTAATGATTAAGCAAAAAGCCAGAGAGAGAACTTCATATATAATAAAGGAGTCCCACAATGACAATACATGGACCCAACATTCAATCCCAAATTCATAAAGGGAACAGACTTACATTTATGTATATGTGTATACTTAAGTTTAGACTCTGATTCTAACAGGGTTAAAATGAGGCATCAGAAAAATATAAACCCTGACATCACTGGGTGCAGTGGCTCATGCCTGTAATCCCAGCACTTTGGGAGGCTGGGGTGGGTGATCACCTGAGGTCAGGAGTTTGAGACCAGCCTGGCCAACAGGGCAAAACCCTGTCTCTACTAAAATACAAAACTTAGCTGGGCATGGTGGCCACACATGTAATCCCAGCTACTCAGGAGGCTAAGGCAGGAGAATCACTTGAACCCAGGAGGCAGAGGTTGCAGTAAGTCAAGATCGCCTCACTGCACTCCAGCCTGGGCAAAGAGTGAGACTGCATCTTACCAAAAAAAAAAAAAAAAAAAGCCCTGACTAGAGGTTGACGGTATTAGCTGATTATTGAAATTTCAAATGAGATAATGGTATTATTGCTCTATTAAACTTATATGCATTTGTGATTTCCCCTAAAATTGGAGAGTGGGCAGACTAGGCACACCAAAATTAGCTATCTTCAGAATTTTCATAAGAAATGTTAAATAAGGCCAGGCGTGGTGGCTCACACCTGTAATCCAAGCACTTTGGAGGCCAAGGCAGGCGGATCACCTGAGGTCAGGGGTTCAAGACCAGCCTGACCAACATGATGAAACCCCATCTTTAAATAAAAAAATAAGAAAATAAAAAGAAATGCTGAACAATAGTAGTAAAAAACAAACTTACAACAAGATCCAGTGTACCAACATAGACAAGCATTGGCTCTTTCAAATAAGATTGTGCAAGGCGATGAACAGAACGTGGCCATGTAGCACTGGGAAAACAAGATACAAACGTTACAATTTTGTTGTAAAAACATTACTATGTTTTCTTAAGCATGCTATGAACCAAGTTATTCATGAAAGACAAATTTAGTAGTTCTTATTTTTTCAGTAAGGCAGATTAGCTGGGTATAATGTATGCACCTGTAGTTCCAGCTACTCTGGAGGCTAAGGTGAGAGGATTGCTTGAGCTGGGAGGTTGAGACTGCAGTAAGCCGAGGTGGTGCCACTGCACTCCATCCTGGCTCAAAAAACAATACAAGAAAAACTTTCAAAATAAACTGACCAAAGAATATCTACATTTAAGGGCCGGGCATGGTGGCTCAAGCCTGTAATCCCAGCACTTTGGGAGGCCGAGGCGGGTGGATCATGAGGTCAAGAGATCGAGACCATCCTGGTCAACATGGTGAAACCTCGTCTCTACTAAAAAAAAAAATACAAAAAATTAGCTGGGCATGGTGGCGCGTGCCTGTAATCCCAGCTACTCAGGAGGCGTAGGCAGAAGAACTGCCTGAACCCAGGAGGCGGAGGTTGCAGTCAGCCAAGATTGCAACACTGCACTCCAGCCTGGGCGTAAGAAAGACTGTCTCAAAATAAACGAATAAATTCACTTTTCTTGAAATATGAAGGTTATTTGTGATAAAACTATGAGAGGATTTAGTATTTCTTCAACTTTATGTTATTTACACTAATAAAGACAAAGGATATAAGCTCAGGAGATACCCTTTTTTTCTGAGACAGATTTTCACTCTTGTTGCCCAAGCTGGAGTGCAGTGGCATCATCTCTGCTCACTGTATCCTCTTACTCTCCACCTACTGGGTTCAAGTGATTCTCCTTCCTCAGTCTTCTGAGTAGCCGGGACAACAGGGTGCGCCACTATGCCTGGCTAATTTTTTTATTTTTAGTATAGGTGAAGTTTCGCCATGTTAACCAGGCTGGCCTCAAACTCCTGACATCAAGTGATCTGTCTGCCTCGGCCTCCCAAAGTTCTGGGATTACATGTGTGAGCCACTGTGTACAGCAAATTTTGTTATTTTTACTAATAAAGACAAAGGCTATATGCCCAGGAGATATTCTTTACACAGCACTCTATATTCAATGATTGCTTCCTGTTTTACTGTGAGCAGTTAAGTATTCAGTAATCAAATGTTTATCTCCTTAGAGAAGTGAATCCTTTATTCAAAAGTAAGACCTTACTTTTGTAGTAAATGTTTGTGTGGATATCCCTATCTGTAATTTAGGAAACTCAATAGTCATAAATAAGCAGTTATGGTTACCCTGTTCTACTTTCAATGTCATAAGATCTTTAACCTCAAGATTTCAACACTTCCAAGTAATGCTCAAATATTGTGGGAAAATCCAAACAGAATGAGATTCTGTTCCACTGACTTTCGCACATAGTAATTAGGCATATACCTACCTGGTCATAACTGTCTGCCTATCTGGGCGCACATCTAACAAAATCTTCATTATCTGGGGTTCAAATCCCATGTCTAACATCTTGTCTGCTTCGTCTAGAACCTGCATTGAAAAAAGAATGTGAATGGATTACAACTGGGAGGCAGTTAATAACACATATGCTTTCTTTACTAGCAGAAAACTAAGAAAGGCTTTCCTCATTTTCCCTATTACTTAAGCCAAGATTTTAATTTCTCCAGGTCAGATACTAAGCAATTTGTCATTGTACGTGGTCTAAATTGATTATTGTTGGCTTTCCAATACCTTTCAAATCTCCTTAAACTTTTAAGTGTCTAAAATATGCAAGTAGATTTTAATTATTGTGTACTTATCTCAATTTTCCAAAATTTAAAATAAACATACATGATAATTTCAAATAGGATTCTTAATTCTTTCAACATGCTAAAGATAATGGGAAATATTCCTAGATCCATTAGAAAATCGACAGCCATAGCTGAGTGCGGTGGCTCATGCCTGTTATTCCAGCACTTTGTGAGGCCAGGCCTCACAAAGGCCTAGCGGATCACCTGGTCAGGAGTTGTTTAAGACCAGCCTGGCCAACATTGTGATCTTGTCTCTACAACAAAATTAGCTGAGCCTGGTGGCAAGCGCCTGTAGTCTCAGCTATTTGGGAGGCTAAGACAGGAGAATCACTTGAATCTACAAGGCAGAAATTGCAGTGAGCCAAGATCTTGCCACTGCACTACAGCCTGGGCAACAAGAGAGAAACTCTGTCTCAAAAAATAATAAAATCAACAGCTGTCCTAAAAGGAACTGATATCCAAACACTTGGGAGTTGATTAAAACTATTAAAAAGTACAGCCGGGCGTGGTGGCTCAAGCCTGTAATCCCAGCACTTTGGGAGGCTGAGGCGGGTGGATCACGAGGTCAGGAGGTCGAGACCATCCTGGTCAACACGGTGAAACCCCGTCTCTACTAAAAATACAAAAAATTAGCTGGGCATGGTGGTGCGTGCCTGTAATCCCAGCTACTCAGGAGGCTGAGGCAAGAGAATTGCCTGAACCCAGGAGGCGGAGGTTGTGGTGAGCCGAGATCGCGCCATTGCACTCCAGACTGGGTAACAAGAGCGAAACTCCATCTCAAAAAAAAAAAAAAAAAAAACCTATTAAAATTACAAGGGGAAGGAGGAGAAAATATAGTTCAGTTTGTTGTTGTTTGAGATGGAGTTTAGTTATTTTATTTTATTATTTTATATATTTTTTATGAGTTTAGCTCTTATTCCTCAGGCTGAAGTACAATGGCATGATCTCGGCTCATGGCAATCCCGACCTTCCCAGTTTAACTGATTCTGTCTCAGCCTCCTGAGTAGCTCACAGTACATGGGATTACAGGTGCATGCCACCACGCTCGACTAATTTTTGTATTTTCGGTAGAAATGGGGTTTTGTCGGCTGGGCGCGGTGGCTCAAGCCTGTAATCCCAGCACTTTGGGAGGCCGAGGCGGGTGGATCACGAGGTCAAGAGATCGAGACCATCCTGGTCAACATGGTGAAACCCCGTCTCTACTAAAAATACAAAAAATTAGCTGGGCATGGTGGCGCATGCCTGTAATCCCAGCTACTCAGGAGGCTGAGACAGGAGAATTGCCTGAACCCAGGAGGCGGAGGTTGCGGTGAGCCGAGATTGCACTCCAGCCTCGGTAACAAGAGTGAAACTCCGTCTCAAAAAAAAAAAAAAAAAAAAAAAAAAAGCAACGGGGTTTCGTCATATTGGTCAGGCTGGTCTGGAACTCAACCTCAGGTGATCTGCCCACCTTGGCCTCCCAATGTGCTGGGATTACAGGCCTGAGCCACTGTGCCTGGCCAGTTCAGTTATTTTTTGAACCCAGCACCCCAAACACCTATTCCATGATTACCAAGTAGGTTATATTCTTCAGATTGACAAAGTTATTCATTTGAAGATCATTCAATCTTCCAGGAGTTGCAATTATGATATCTACGCCTTTTCTAAGCTCTTCTATTTGTTCATCTCTGCTTCCACCACCATATACACAAACACTTAAAAAGAAAAAATCCAAAGGTCAATGTTCAGGCACAGAATATCACACAACAACTTAAAATCCAATAAAAGGGATTAAAATAAATTATCAGGTACCTTTAATGGTATCTACCCCTTTCTGAGGATTATGTACACCCATCAATCCATAATGTTGTATCTTAAAGACCAATATTTATACTATCACCCAACCCAGGCTCTTGACTGATTAGATTAGTGCTAAATGCATGACCCATAGAGCCATTTTGATTCTCTGAAAGTGTGAAAAAGGAGAGAAGATACATAAAGTTACAAGTGATTAAAATACAATACTAGTGAAGGAATGGCAAGAATTAATTACCTACCTCCGAAACCCTTTATATGAATATTTGCCACATTCTCCTTCAACTTGAAGTGCTAACTCCCTAGTGGGTGTTAGAACTAACATGCCGGGTCTATTCCTTTGACCTTTAACGCTTTGAAGAGAAAACAATCATATTAATAACCAATATTGTTACATTCATTCAGTGCCATCGAGATTTGTAGCAACCAGCCTGGTGAGGTAGCTTATGCCTGTAACCCCAGCACTTTGGGAGGCTGAGGTGGACAGATTACCTGAGGTCAGGAGTTTGAGACTAGCCTGACCAACATGGTGAAACCCTGTATCTACTAAAAATACAAAAAATTATACATGATGGAGGGCACCTGTAATCTCAGCTACTCAGGAGGCTGAGGCAGAAGAATCACTTGAACCCAGGAGGCAGAGCCTGGGTGACAAGAGTGAAACTCTGTCTCAAAAGAAAAAAAAAAAATAGATTTGTAGCAAGAAGTATCAGACATACAGTATGCCTTTTTGTGAGAAGGTATATGATTAAAAGTTGTCTCTAGCCGGGCGCGGTGGCTCAAACCTGTAATCCCAGCACTTTGGGAGGCTGAGGCGGGTGGATCACGAGGTCAAGAGATCGAGACCATCCTGGTCAAAATGGTGAAACCCCGTCTCTACTAAAGATACAAAAAATTAGCTGGGCATGGTTGCACGTGCCTGTAATCCCAGCTACTCAGGAGGCTGAGGCAGGAGAATTGCCTGAACCCAGGAGGCGGAGGTTGCGGTGAGCCGAGATGGCGCCATTGCACTCCAGCCTGGGTAACAAGAGCGAAACTCCGTCTCAAAAAAAAAAAAAAAAATTTGTCTCTACATATTACAAACTTTGTTAATTATAATCTACCTACCTAAAAAATGGGTGATATTATATAGAATATGCCAAATTTCCCATAAGAGAATACATTGTTTTCTCAGATTTAACATTGCTTTACCAAGACACTAGTGTCAGTTTCTATATACTTTCTTATTACAAAAGCAATACATATTTACCATGAACTAGGGAAAATTTTAAAAACTACAAATCCTAAAACCCAATTTCCCAATAGCAGTCTTTTGTTTAAGATGGTCTTTTTCATTAACATTTAAAATATCAAACATTTTATCAAGGAATAGATAAGTGTATTGGACATAGTTTAAACAGTTTCTACTGTTTCACTATTAAAGCAAAGCTTGTGGTAGATATTACCTATTGCCTTCTAATAATGTTTTACCAATTTATACTTTCACCAGCACAATGTAAGTGTACTTCCTAGCATCTTCTCCAAAGCTAGGCATTACCTTTGAATCGAGCAATAGGTAAAGAAACTTTGCCAGGCGCAGTGGCTCAAGCCTGTAAGCCCAGCACTTTGGGAGGCTGAAGTGGGTGGATCACAAGTTAAAGAGATCGAGACCATCCTGACCAACACGGTGAAACCCCGTCTCTACTAAAAATACAAAAAAATTAGCCGGGCGTGGTGGCATGTGCCTGTGGTCCTAGCTACTCAGGAGGCTGAGGCGGAAGAATTCCTTGAACCGAGAAGGTGGAGGTTGCAGCGAGCTGAGATTGCACCACTGCACTCCAGCCTGGTGACAGAGCAAGACTCTGTCTCAAAAAAAAAAAAAAATGGTTTAAGGCCGGGAGTGGTGGCTCATGCCTGTAATCCAAGCACTTTGAAGGCCAAGGTGGGTGGATCACCTGAGGTTGGGAGTTCAAGACCAGCCTGACCAACATGGTGAAACCTCGTCTTCAAAAAAAAAAAAAAAAATTAAAAAAAAGAAAAAAAAAACAACTTTACAGTTTTGATATCTAAATCTATTAAACCTCTGTAAAAAGAAACCAGCCAAAAGAATTCTTACGTTGGTTGAAGGTCCAAATGAATAAATCCAGGCATTAAATAACACAATGTCTTTCCTGTTCCAGTTTGGGCTACTCCTATAAGATCTATTCCTTGCAACACAATGGGCCACGCTTGTGCCTGAAACAGAATGATAAACATTAACACAACAAGCACATCTTTTTTTTTTTTTTGCCAATTATTCCTATTTTCCCAGTTCTAAACTTCTTTCAACAAAAACTTCTTGAACACTAGGGAGAAGGTGCTGGGGGAATGCTAAGAGACAGTTGCTCCCTGGTATCTTCTAACAATCTGATATTGGCCAGGCGTGGTGTCTCATGCCTGTAATCCCAGCAATTGGGAGGCTAAGGTAAATGGATCCCCTGAGGTCAGGAGTTCAAGACCAGCCTGGCTAACATGGTGAAACCCCATTTCTTGAATCATGGGGTTGGTTTAAAAAAAAAAAAAGAAACCCCATTTCTACTAAAAATACAAAGAGTTAGCTGGGCATGGTGGTACACGCCCAGCTCTTTGGAAGGCTGAGGCAGGAGAACTGCTTGAACTCAGGAAGCGGAGGTTGCAGTAAGCCGAGACTGTGCCACTGTACTCCAGCTTGTGTAATGAGTGAAATTTCATCTCAAACAAAAACCAAAACCAAAACCAAAAAACACCAAAGATATCACTATTTTTGAAGAAAAACAGAGTGAAATACTATAATTAATGAAAGCATACCTGAATAGGTGTTGGCTTTTTAAAACCTGATTTTTTAATGTTTTCCATAACCTCAGGATAGTACTGAAAGGCGTCATCAAATGTGCAGGTTGGATTGGGGATAGGTCGTTTCTCCCCATCCTTCAAGTCATCCCATGTTATATTAAAATTTTCTTTCCTTCAAAGAATAAAAATGATTAATTTTTTTTCTCACTTTACTCCCCAAGCAAGACATTCTCCAAAATCAGTCTGGTCTTATCTAGAAGCTCAACTGCAACTGTGACTGTGGGGAAAGTTATAATGAAATGTATAAAGAAATAGAAGCAAGAGTCCATCTGTCTCTTATCTGAGAATAGTTGCAATGGGAAGGTTAAAAACATTAGTTTTTCTGGCAAAAACAAAAAACATTATACGATAGTAGGCCAATGAATGTTTCATGGATCAAAGATGAGCAGCCTGAAAACCATGCTTCATAAATTAAAATCAGATTTGGCAAACAGGGAAGGCCTACAATGTTCCACACATTTCATTAATGCATCCTTAACAATCCTATATGTTAGGAAGTATTATCAATTTGACAGGTGATCATACAGTAAGTTACCCTGTTCCTCACCTTAACTATTCTGCTATTCCATAGCACCTCTCAGTTTTTTTTTCTTTTCATGTATGTGAAAGTTCACAAGCATCTCTGTTTTATCAAACTTTAATAGTAAGAAAAAACCTTGCAATTCAAACCTTCCAAAGCTGGGCGAGGCAGCTCACACCTGTAATCCTAGCACTTTGGGTGGCTGAGGCAGGTGGATTGCCTGAGCTCAGAAGTTCAAGACCAGCCTGGGCAACAAGGTGAAACCCCCTCTCTACTAAAATACAGAAAATTAGTTGGTGTGGCAGCATGTGCCTGTAGCCCCAGGTACTTGGGAGGCTGAGGCAGGAGAACTGCTTGAACCCAGGAGGCAGAAATTGCAGTGAGACAAGATCATGCCACTGCACTCCAGCCTGGGAGACAAAGACTTTAACTACAAAAATAAAAATAAATAAATGAAACCTTCCAATTACAGGTAACAAGGACCGAAGTGTTTAAGAAATTAACAAGATTAATTTTTTTCAATTCAACTATTGGAGGAATAATTCTCTAAAACTGCTGTCCAATATAGCAGGCACTAGCCACACATGACTATCTCAATTCAATTAATATAAACATTCGTTTGTTCAGTTACACCAGCCATACTTTACATGCCAGTCTACTCCATTAGACATAAATATAGACTGTTTTCCATCACTGCAGGAAGTTTTACTAGACAACAATGCTTTAATACAATTTAAGTTAACACATTTACTTGAATATCGAAGGTGTAGTAGCCTTTAAATATCATTTCACATTTGCCCAGAGTGTTAACACCAATAACGTAAGGATACATATACTTACACAACAAGGTAATTAAACTACCCACCTCCAACTATCTGCTTGTTCTTTGGACATCTCACTTGTGGCAGCTGACTCTTTATAAAAGTTTTTCTTAATTGGGGGTAAGTCTGGGACAAAAGTGAAAATTGACACTTTGATGAATGTACAGCATCATTAATAGTTAGTCAAAGCTACAGAAATCATACAATATATTTTATTTACCACACATATCGTTTGACAGTTCTACACTCTGCCAGCCAGGCTTGCTCCTATCAAAAAGATCTCCGTTTCTGCATGCTGGGCACCAGTAGCTTAGACCTGTAATCCCAGCACTTTGGGAGTCTGGCATGGGAGGATCACTTGAGTCTGAGCAAAATAGTGACACCCTGTCTCTACAGAAATTTCTTTAGTCTGGCAGCCAGGTCCAGTGGCGCACGCCTGTAACCCCAGCACATGGGAGGCTGAGGTGTCAGGAGGTCAAGACCAGCCTAGCCAACATGGTGAAATCCCATCTCTACTAAAAAATACAAAAATTAGCTGGGCATAGTGGTGTGTGCCTGTAATCCCAGCTACTCGGGAGGTTGAGGCAAAAGAACTGCTTGAACCCAGGAGGCAGAGGTTGCAGTGAGCTGAGATGGCTCCATTGCACTACAGCCTGGGCAACAAAACTCAGAAAAAGCTTTGAGTGGTGGTATGTGCTTGTAGTCCCAGCCAGTTGAGAGGCTGAGGTGAGAGGATTGCCTGAGCCTGGGAGAGGAAGGCTGCAATGACTTGTGATTTTGCCACTGCACTATAGCCAGGACAACAGAGTGAAACCCTCAAAAACAACTTTAATGAAAAATAAAATGATGCATGCATTTTTAAGGCATAAAACAACGCAATTGATAAATATACTCTCATGCATAGTAGTTTGATTATCTTTTCTTTGAAGGTTCATCCAATTACTTTTTTAGGAATTGCATCTATACCCTTGGTCTACTCTCTTAAGCTACATTCCTTAAAAGTATATTATACCAGGGCAGGCGCGGTGGCTCACGCCTGTAATCCCAGCACTTTGGGAGGCTGAGGTGGGTGGATCACCAGGTCAGGAGTTCAAGACCAGCCTGGCCAATGTGGTGAAATCTCATCTCTACTAAAAATGCACAAACTAGCCAGGCGTGGTGGTGGGCACCTGTAATCCAAGCTACTAGGAAGGCTGAGGCAAGAGAATCACTTAAACCCAGGAGGCAGAAGTCGCAGTGAGCTGAGATTGCGTCACTGCACTCCAGCCTGGGTGACACAGCAAGACTCTGTCTCAAAAAAAAATAGTTAAACATTTAATATTTCCCTTGTAGCATAAATGACAGCTGACAACATAGAAGGTAGGGACTAATTGCAGCATTTTAGATTTTACTGTTTTTATAACATTTCATTACTAAAAATAAAGCAGACATTTTAAAGAGGATAAAAACTAGCTAACAGAAACAATAAATGTAAATGATAGGAAGCAGCACAGACCTGCCCACTTTTTTTGCTGCCATTTCAAACCTTCCTCTCTAATTTGATCCCAATCTATCAATGGCCGAGCTCCTGCAACTACACTGTTAGCTGTGCTTCGACCTTTTTCACCAGAAGGTTGTAATGCAATACCTGTTAAAAACATTTTTAACAGATTAGTTTTTCTCTATTTGTTTCTTAATAATCAGACAATGCTTAAAATATAAAATTTGGGGTTTCTCTACCACAGTAACATGAAATTTGTTATCATTCAATGATAACAACTTATAAAATTTAATTTTATTGGAGAAGGTAAGTAAAATACCACAAGTTTAATGTTTGTTAAGATATTGTCAGGCTAGGCGCGGTGGCTCACGCCTGTAATCCCAGCACTTTGGGAGGCCAAGGCGGGTGGATCACGAGGTCATGAGATCGAGACCATCCTGGTCAACATGGCGAAACCCCGTCTCTACTAAAAAAATATAAAAAATTAGCTGGGCATGGTGGCACATGCCTGTAATTCCAGCTACTCAGTAGGCTGAGGCAGGAGAATTGCCTGAACCCAGGAGGAGGAGGTTGCGGTGAGCCGAGATCGCCATTGCACTCCTGCCTGGGTAACAAGAGTGAAACTCTGTCCCAAAAAAAAAAAAAGATATTGTCAGCCGGGTGCGGTGGCTCAAGCCTGTAATCCCAGCACTTTGGGAGGCTGAGGCAGGTGGATCACGAGGTTGAGAGATCAAGACCATCCTGGTCAACATGGTGAAACCCCGTCTCTACTAAAAAAACAAAAAATTAGCTGGGCATGGTGGTGCGAGCCTGTAATCCCAGCTACTCAGGAGGCTGAGGCAGGAGAATTGCTTGAACCCAGGAGGCGGAAGTTGCGGTGAGCTGAGATCGTGCCATTGCACTCCAGCCTGGGTAACAAGAGCAAAACTCCGTCTCAAAAAAAAAAAAAAAGATATTGTCATACCCATTACTCAATTGTTACAATACTCCTGGGAAGCAGATATTATCCCAGGTTAATAGATGAAGAGCCAGGCTTAGTAGCTCACCCCTGTAATACCAACACTTTGTGAGGATGGTGGGATCGCTTGAACTCAGGACTCAAGACCAACCCAAACAACATGGTAAAACCCCATTTCTACCCTACAAAAAATTTACTTAGCTGGGTGTGGTGGCACACACCTGTGGTCCCAGCTATTTGAGAGGCTGAGGTGGGAGAATCACTGGTGCCCAGGAGGTCAAGGCTATAATGAGCCATGATCTGCCGGGCGAGGTGGCTCACGCCTGTAATCCCTGCACTTTGGGAGGCCAAGACAGATGGATCACCTGAGGTCAGGAGTTTGAGATCAGCCTGGCTAATAGAGCAAAACCCCATCTCTCCTAAATGAAAAAATATAAAAATTTGCCAGGCATGGTAGTGGACATCTGTATTTCCATGGTGGCAGAAATTGTAGTGAGCTGAGATCACGCCACTAAACTCTAGTCTGGATGACAGAGTGAGACTCCATTGCAAAAAAAAAGAGCCATGCTCATACCACTGCACTGCAGCCTAGAAAACACAGAACCCGCCGGGCGCGGTGGCTCAAGCCTGTAATCTCAGCACTTTGGGAGGCTGAGGCGGGTGGATCGCGAGGTCAAGAGATCGAGACCATCCTGGTCAACATGGTGAAATCCCGTCTCTACTAAAAATACAAAAAATTAGCTGGGCATGGTGGCACATGCCTGTAATCCCAGCTACTCAGGAGGCTGAGGCAGGAGAATTGCCTGAACCCGGGAGGCGGAGGTTGCGGTGAGCTGAGATCGCGCCATTGCACTCCATCCTGGGTAACAAGAGCGAAACTCCGACTCAAAAAAAAAAAAAAAAGAAAACACAGAACCCATCTAAAAAACAATTTAAAAAATAAAATTAAAATAAAAAACAATAAAACAGACACAGAAATAGAACATTAGACCTTGTTTTTTTTTCCCCAGAAAACACTAAGACAATGGTGCCTTCTAACCCCAAGTGTCTCTATCCTACTTTCACATTGCTTCTAGATATGATTCAGTAATGGTTCTCTATTCTAAACAGATCTACTTTTAAAAATAAATATTTACGCCGGGCGCGGTGGCTCAAGCCTGTAATCTCAGCACTTTGGGAGGCCGAGGCGGGTGGATCACAAGGTCGAGAGATCAAGACCATCCTGGTCAACATGGTGAAACCCCGTCTCTACTAAAAATACAAAAAAATTAGCTGGGCATGGTGGCACGTGCCTGTAATCCCAGCTACTCAGGAGGCTGAGGCAGGAGAATTGCCTGAGCCCAGGAGGTGGAGGTTGCAGTGAGCCGAGATCGCGCCATTGCACTCCAGCCTGGGTAACAAAAGCGAAACTCCGTCTCAAAAATAAATAAATAAATAAATAAATAAATAAATAAATATTTAGGCCGGGCGCGGTGGCTCAAGCCTGTAATCCCAGCACTTTGGGAGGCCGAGGCGAGTGGATCACGAGGTCAAGAGATCAAGACCATCCTGGTCAACATGGCGAAACCCCGTCTCTACTAAAAATACAAAAAAATTAGCTGGGCATGCTGGCGCGTGCCTGTAATCCCAGCTACTCGGGAGGCTGAGGCAGGAGAATTGCCTGAACCCAGGAGGCGGAGGTTGCGGTGAGCCGAGATCGCGCCATTGCACTCCAGCCTGGGTAACAAGAGCGAAACTCCGTCTCAAAAAATAAATAAATAAATAAATAAATAAATATTTAAGCAGTTTTCAACGTCAGCCATAAATCTGAAGTCGGGACTAGGGTTAGGATCCTGGGACCAATCCTTACTCCACCCACTAACACTAAAGTATGTGTATTAAAGGGTTATTTCTCTGCTTGCAGGACCTAGATTAATACAACGCGAAAAATAAATAAAAAGGTTATTTCATTCTCATTTACTGTGGCTAAAAGTAAAACTGCTAGGCATGAACACAGAGAGCCGGTATTTTAATTTGAGGAAAAATATTCTGGGCTTTTATTCATAGCAAAAAATCATTAAGACTACATTTATGGCAGTCTAATGCTTTGAATCAGAAAAGGAAACCAGGTATAATTGCTTATAACAGTGAATGAAATTCAAACATGTTAAAGGGCTTCAGTGAGAAAAAATTACTTACCAACTCTGCATTCTGAATCTTCTTCTAGCTTTTTCACAAGATTACCTATCACGGCTTTTGCTTTGGCTTGCATTGTTTTGCTGCCATATATTTTGACTAATGATTCTGGTCTTCCTTGTATTATCTAAATACAAGGGAAAAAAAAGAGGTGAGATTTAAAAGTTCCGTAAAGCCCCTAACCCCTTTCAACAATCACTCATCTTCAAAACTATTACAGTATAAAGTAAATACAGTATTACTACCCAATCAAAGTCTATATTTCTAGTTAGAGAGGAGTATTACTTGTATACTCGGGGATTTACCTTCTGGTCAGATGCAGAGGGGCAGGACAACCTGAACATCTAAACAATGGACAGCTAGGGAATAAACTCAGCAAATAGTGTAGAGAAATAATTAAGGCATTAAACATGACCAGTGATAGCATTTTGATTCTGAGGTTTTCAACCTACAAAATGGTATTTTTTTTTTTTTTTTTTGAGACAGAGTTTCGCTCTTGTTACTCAGGCTGGAGTGCAATGGCGCGATCTCGGCTCACTGCAACCTCCGCCTCCTGGGTTCAAGCAATTCTCCTGCCTCAGCCTCCCGAGCTGGGATTACAGGCAGGCGCCACCACGCCCAGCTAATTTTTGTATTTTTAGTAGAGACGGGGTTTCACCATGTTGACCAGGATGGTCTCGATCTCTTGACCTCGTGATCCACCCGCCTCAGCCTCCCAAAGTGCTGGGATTACAGGCTTGAGCCACCGCGCCCGGCCCTACAAAATGGTATTTGTTTCACCACTCATACAGAACTGTAGGGCTGAAATGAAGTAACCTATGTGCTAGAGTGTTTATTGCACTGCCAGGTAACTTAGCTAAATTCTTAACTTGATAGGATTCTATACCTATGTATATACTGTTAGGGTTGTGTTTATAAGACTGATATATTTTGTGAATAGAATCTACAAGTAACACCTATCAACAAGCATAATTTCAAATAACCTAATAGATTCAATATCTAGAAAATGCTATACACCAAATTTTGTTTTAGGTTGGTAATTCAATGTTTACCACCTACAGTATTTACAGGCACTATAACTCAGTATGAGTACTGAAGCAAGGCCATTACAGGGTACTATGGGAAGGGACAATTACATAGAATGGGGGTCTTAGACCTCCCTAAGAGGTGAGCAGGAATTATTTATGTGGAAATAAGTATGATAGCAGGGTGTGTCAGGAAGTGGGTGGAGTACTCAAGGAATTAGGGAAGAGGAGACTGGAGAGGGTGCACAGACGAGCTTAAGTCAACAATTTTAAAGAGTATAGACTTACAGGCCTGATATATTGTGAAACATTTTTTTTTTTTTTTTTTTAAGACGGAGTTTCGCTCTTGTTACCCAGGCTGGAGTGCAATGGCGTGATCTCGGCTCACCGCAACCTCCGCCTCCTGGGTTCAGGCAATTCTCCTGCCTCAGCCTCCTGAGTAGCTGAGATTACAGGCACGTGCCACCATGCCCAGCTAATTTTTTGTATTTTTAGTAGAGACGGGGTTTCACCATGTTGACCAGGATGGTCTCGATCTCTCGACCTCGTGATCCACCCGCCTCGGCCTCCCAAAGTGCTGGGATTACAGGCTTGAGCCACCGCGCCCGGCCTATCGTGAAACATTTTTACACAGGAAAGGGACACAAATAATTTGTGTTTTAAAATGCTTGTTCTGGCCAAGCATGGCGGCTCAGGCCTGCATTCCCAGTACTTTGGGAAGCTGAGGTGGGTGGATCATCTGAGGTCAGGAATTCAAGACCAGCCTGGCCAACATGGTGACACCCTGTCTCTACTTAAAGTACAAAAATCAGCCAGGCGTGCTGTCAGAAACCTGTAATCCAAGCTTCTCTGGAGGCTGAGGCAGAAGAATTGCTTGAACCCAGGAGGCACAGGTTGCAGCGCACCAAGATCCTGCCACTGCACTCCAGCCTGGGTGACAGAAGGAGACTCCGTCTCAAAAAAAAAAAAAAAAAAAATTAAGTTACATGCTCCCTTAGAAATGCATGATGCTCTCTTAAGGACTGAAGAACACAGATGACTTACTTGGATTATGGTGTTTGTTGTATTTTGTATATGCTTTATTTTCGATCCACCACGACCTGTTTTTAAAAATAAAGGAAATACAATTATCAGTTGAAATCGGTAAGTTAAAAACTTACCCATTTTCCTCAACAAACATTCTCTAGTTCTACACAAATGCTCCTAGGGTTCAGCAATCACTTTTTATTTGGAAAGAGGGAAGTAAGAGGTTCTATTCCAAATTTTGGTGGGTTTTAAGGAGGCTCCTCTTAATCCAGAGAGGTGGAGACTATAGATTATCAGCTCAAACAAAACCTAATTGGGTCCAAACTGGTGGAGAGGATGTAGAAATTGGAAAAATAGACAAAACTTAATAGACATTTCTCCAGTGACATACAAATGGCCAACAAGCATAAGCAGATGTTCAACATCACTAATTAGGTTCACACAAATCCGAAACCACAAAATTATTGTCATCTCACATCTGGTAGGATGACCATTATTAAAAACAGAAAATAATTGTTAGTAAGGATGTGGAGAAATTGGAACCTCTGTGTACGGTTGGTGGGATTGTAAAATGGTGCTGCCACTATGTTTTTTTTTTTTTTTTTTTTTTGAGACAGAGTTTCGCTCTTGTTACCCAGGCTAGAGTGCAATGGCGCGATCTCGGCTCACCGCAACCTCCGCCTCCTGGGTTCAGGCAATTCTGCCTCAGCCTCCCGAGTAGCTGGGATTACAGGCACGTGCCACTATGCCCAGCTAATTTTTTGTATTTTTAGTAGAGACGGGGTTTCACTATGTTGACCGGGATGGTCTCGATCTCTCGACCTCGTGATCCACCCGCCTCGGCCTCCCAAAGTGCTGGGATTACAGGCTTGAGCCACCGCGCCCGGCTGGTGCTGCCACTATGTAAAACAGTATAGTTTTCCCAAAACATTAAAATAGAACATATGATCCAGCAGTCTCAATTGGGGTATACATCCAGAAGAAGTGAAAGCAGGATCTCAAAGATATGTTGCACTCCCATTTTCATAATAACACCACTCAAGTCAAAAGGTGGAAGCTACCTATTTATCATAGACCCATTAATAGATAAACTGAGATAGATACATAATGGAATACCATTCAGAGCCTTAGTAAGGAAGAAAATCCTGTCTCAAGCTATAAAGCGGATAAGCCTGGAAGATATTAAGGTGAGAGAATTAAGCCAATAACAAGGACAACTGCTGCATAATTCTACTTATATGGATTATCTAAAGTAAACTAACTCCAAAACAATGTAAATGGTGGTTCCCTGGGATGGGGCATGAAATAATGGGGAGCTATTCAATGGGTATACAGTTTCAGTCACGCAAGTTCCAGAAATCTGGGATATAACCTTGTGCTTATTGTTAGTATGTGATATACGTTTAAAAGGATAATTTAACAATAAAAAAGTTGGATTCAGACCCAACATCAAGTGAGTGTTCTGTAACACAGCGCTCTTACATCTGTTAAGTGTTAACTTAAGTGATTTTTATAGCAAATCCAGTGGCTTTCTTTTACAGAGCATCATTCTTCAGATCTTAAACCCAAGCCTTCTGAAGGGCCAAAGAATCTCTGAGTAGTATATCAGTTAGTCTCACACTGCACTATTTTATAGCAGCCTCCATCTGTTCACTTTTCTCAGGTTTTAAAAAGGGTAAAATTTAGGCCGGGCGCGGTGGCTCAAGCCTGTAATCCCAGCACTTTGGGAGGCCGAGGCGGGTGGATCACAAGGTCAAGAGATCGAGACCATCCTGGTCAACATGGTGAAACCCCGTCTCTACTAAAAATACAAAAAAGTAGCTGGGCATGGTGGCACATGCCTGTAATCCAAGCTACTCAGGAGGCTGAGGCAGGAGAATTGCCTGAACCCAGGAGGCGGAGGTTGCGGTGAGCCGAGATCGCGCCATTGCACTCCAGCCTGGGTAACAAGAGCGAAACTCCGCCTCAAAAAAAAAAAAAAAAAAAAAAAGGGTAAAATTTATCTAATAGGTAAAATGTGGCAATTTATACTCTGGCTTAATGGCAATCAGTGGGGTAGTCATTCTAATCATTTTTTAAATGCTTCTCGTTTTTTCTTTCTTTCAAGACAGGGTTTCACCATGTTGGTCGGGCTGGTCTTAAAACTCCGGACCTCAGGTAATCCACCCGCCTTGGCCTCCAAAATGCCTGGATTACAGGCGTGAGCCACCACACCCCGCCTTAAATGCTTTTCAAAAAAATTCAGAGATGGGCCAGGCACGGTGGCTTATGCCTGTAATCCCAGCACTTGGGGAGGCAGAGATGGGTGGATCCATAGGAATTTGAGACCGCCCTGGGCACTATGGTGAAACCTCATCTTTACTAAAAAGACAAAAATTGGGGAGGCTGAGGTATGAGAATCGCTTGATTGAGCCTATAAGGTGGAGGTTGTAGTCAGCTGAGATCATACCACTGCACTCAGCTGGAGTCACAGAGCCGTCTCAAAAAATAAACCAACAGTATTAAAAAATTTAAAATTCAGAATTTAATGTTAACATCCAAGATGTAGTAAGAGCCGGGTGTGGTGGCTCATGCCTGTAATCCCAGCACTTTGGGAGGCCGAGATGGGTGGATCACGAGATGAGGAGTTCAAGACCAGCCTGGCCACGATGGTGAAACTCCCATCTCTAAAAAAAAAAAAAAAGACGCAGTAAAAAAATTTTATTTATTTATTTTTTTAAATAAAGATGGGGTTTCACCCTGATGGTCAGGCTGGTCTTGAACTCCTGACCTCAGGTGATCCACCCACCTCGGTCTCCCAAAGTGCTAGAACTACAGGTGTGAGTCACCATGCCAGGCAGAAATTTTTTTTTTTTTTTTTTGAGACGGAGTTTTGCTCTTGTTACCCAGGCTGGAGTGCAATGGCGCGATCTTGGCTCACCGGAACCTCCGCCTCCTGGGTTCAGGCAATTGTCCTGCCTCAGCCTCTTGAGTAGCTGGGATTACAGGCACGTGCCACCATGCCCAGCTAATGTTTTGTATTTTTAGTAGAGACGGGGTTTCACCATGTTGACCAGGATGGTCTCGATCTCTTGACCTCGTGATCCACCCGCCTCGGCCTCCCAAAGTGCTGGGATTACAGGCTTGAGCCACCGCGCCCGGCCAGAAAATTTTTAACAGTTAAAACATGTAAAATAAAGGAAACTAAAAGCAAGATACAATTGCTCTACACAGCCCTACAATAATCGTTTAGCGATCCCTCCTCAGCCTCCCAAAGTGTTGGGATTACAGGCATGAGCCACCGCGCCCAGCCAGCCCTAAGATTTCAAAAGCCTTCTAGGAGTTCCTCTCCCAAATACATTGTATAAACACCACAAGGTGGATTAAGTTACTTTTTTAATTAACAGTCTTGCTGTCACCCAGGCTGGAGTACAGTGGCACAATCTCGGCTCACTGCCAACCTCTGCCGCCCAGGTTCTAGTGATTCTCATGCCTCAGCATCCAGAGTAACTGGGATTACAGGCGCACGACAGACCCCAGGCCCGGAAAGTTTTTTTGTATTTAGCAGCGACGGGGGTTTTGCCATGTTACCCAGGCTGGTCTGGAACTCTTGAGCTCCGGTGATCCACCCGCCTTGCCCTCCCAAAGTGCTGAGATTACAGGCGGAAGCCGCCGCGCCCGGCCAGATGAGATTATATTCTAGCACCAGTTTTTAGAAATAGCTGAGAGACCCGAACCTCACTAGCCGGCAGCTGATTGGAGGTGAGGCCGTAGGGAGGGAATGCCTTTGCCCAGGCCCCGCCCCTGGTCCCACTTATCCTGCCCTGCCCAGCCAGCCACACCCATTCTCACCGATCACCGCGCCGACAAAGTGGTTCTTCAAAGCGAAACATAGCGGCGGTTCCTCATGACCAGCGGCCACGGCGTTCGAGGGCCTAGAGGCACCTCTCCAGCAGCCACCTCTGACGACCCTATATCCCCCCGGACCTCCTCGATTCGACTCTTCCGCCAACCTCCTTTCTGGCGGCCGGGACGCGTTCGAACTTCGTCGGCCAGCAACGACCCATGTAGAGGCCTTAGGGGCTTCTCCGTGTTGGGACATGGTTCCAAGAATGGTCGCGTCCGACGTCGTTGCCGTCCGGCTCTGCTCTACTCGACTGTGCCGTCGTAAGACTGAAGTGCCACGGCAGCCACGCAGCAGCTACTTAAGGAGCCCGCACGAGGCCAGCCCCGCCCCCACCCCTCTGTTCCTCCCACCGCACCCTGATTTCACACAGCCATTGGCCAGCAAGCGTTGAGGGCGGGACCTTTCCAGTTCAGCCTATAGGTTCTCTGAACCGTGGGAGTGTGCCTTGAAGTAGTCAACGCGCGATGATGGTTTTTTTTTGTTGTTGTTTTTTTGAGATGGAGTTTCGCTCTTGTTACCCAGGCCGGAGTGCAATGGCGCGATCTCGGCTCACCAAAACCTCCGCCTCCCGGGTTCAGGGAATTCTCCTGCCTCAGCCTCCTGAGTAGCTGGGATTACAGGCACGCGCCACCATGCCTGGCTAATTTTTGTATTTTTGTAGAGACAGGGTTTCACCATGTTGGCCAGGCTGGTTTTGAACTCCTAACCTCAGGTGATCCACCCGCCTCAGCCTGCCAACGTGCTGAGATTACACACGTGAGCCACCGCGTCCTGGTGTATTCTTTCCTGGGCGTGGAATTTCTCCCAAACTCCCACTTTGCTCCTGCCCCTACTGAACACCCACCTCAGGTTCCTGGCATCTCAGTGCCTTGGAAACCTTTTTTTATTCCCCTTTTTAAATAGAGATGTGGTGTCGCTGTGTTGCTCAGGCCGGTTTTGAATTCCTGGCTTCTGGCTTCAAGTGATCTTCCTGCCTCCGCTTCCCAAAGTGCTGGGATTACAGACTCCAGCCACTGCACGGGAAATGTTTTTAACTGTGACCCATAAAATTTAGTCACTATTACAAAGTGACCCAATCCATACATAAAAATCTTGAAAGAACACATTGACAAAGCAGCATTTATCCTTAATATGTAAGCAGCATTTTGATACATTTAAGCTTATTTTAGTTTCTTAAATGGTTGTAAGCCACAAAATTTTTTTAAAAAATTAATAGAGACAGAGTCCCAGTATACTGCCAAGGCTGGTCTCAAACTCCTGGACTCAAGTGATCCTCCCATTTCCAGATCCCATAGTGCTGGGATTACAGGCCTGAGCCACACTCGGCTCACAAAATGTATTTAATGGCCACAGCTTAAAGATCACTGACTCGAACCGGGCGCGGTGGCTCACGCCTGTAATCCCAGCACTTTGGGAGGCCGAGACGAGTGGATCACGAGGTCAACAGATCGAGACCATCCTGGTCAACATGGTGAAACTCCATCTCTACTAAAACTACAAAAATTAGCTGGGCATGGTGGCGCACGCCTGTAGTCCCAGCTACTCGGAAGGCTGAGGCAGTAGAATTGCTTGAACCCAGGAGAGGGAGGTTGCGGTGAGCCGAGATCGCGCCATTGCACTCAAGCCTGGGAAACAAGAGTGAAACTCAGTCTCAAAAAAAAAAAAAAAAAAAAAAAAGATCAAAGATCACTGACTCGATCCTTTTGTAGGTCATAAGTGTGATTGGGTTTTCATGCTCTTGTGTCAAATGTACCTCCCTCAAACCTTGTTATGAAATGGGCACACTTCCTGCCTGATGTGAAAATAAAGAGAAAAAAAATCACTGGCACGAGAGACATTCATTGGTCTACACAGTCTTCTGAATGTTTGCTGTAGGTTTTTTTTTGTTTTATTTTGTTTTGTTTTCAACCTCTGTCGCCGAGGCTGGAGTACAGTGGTGCGATCACTGCTCACTGCAGCTTTGATCTGTTGGACTCAATCGATACTCTGGCCACAACCCTTTGAATAGTTGGGACTACAGGTGTTGGCCACCATGCCAGGCTAATGTTTTAGTAAAGACAAGATCTCCCTATGTTGCCCGGCTGGTCTCCAATTCCTGCCTTGGCCTCCCACAGTTAGGGATTACAGGCATAAGCCACAGTGCCTGGCCTGCCATAGTTTTAGAGCTAAGGAAATAAACTGAATAGATTCCTAATGCATCACCATCATTGCAGTCTGGCTCTGTGGCTGGGCATACTACTCCAGGGGTTCAAACTGGCTGCGAGTACACTGCTTTGATTAGTCTTTGAGTTATCTGAACAAATTTCAGTTTAGGCCAGGAGGGGTGGCTCATACCTCAACAATTTAGGAGGCGTAGGTGGAAGATCTCTTGAGCCCAGAAGTTCGATACTAGTCTGGGTAACATAGTGAGACCCTGTCTCTACAAAAAAATTTTTTTTAATTAGCCAGGTGTGGTGGTGTACGCTTAGTCCCAGATACTCAGGAGGCTGAGGTGGGAGAATCATTTGAGTCAGGAAGGTTGAGGTACCTTGAGCCAAAATGCCGAAATGGTGCCTTCGCTCCCGTCTGGGCAACAAAGCAGACACCCTGTCTCAAAAAAAAAAAAAAATCATTTCAGTCATCCATCAAACACAGTGGACACCAGGCCAGGAGTGGTGGCTCATGCCTGTAATTCCAGCACTTTGGGAGGCCAAGGCAGGCGGATCACAAGGTCAGGAGAGCGAGACCATCCTGGTTAACGTAGTGAAACCTCGTCTTTATTAAAAATACAAAATATGCCGGGCGCGGTGGCTCAAGCCTGTAATCCCAGCACTTTGGGAGGCCGAGGCGGGTGGATCACGAGGTCAAGAGATCGAGACCATCCTGGTCAATATTGTGAAACTCCGTCTCTACTAAAGGTGCAAAAAATTAGCTGGGCATGGTGGCGCATGCCTGTAATCCCAGCTACTCAGGAGGCTGAGGCAGGAGAGTTGCCTGAACCCAGGAGGCAGAGGTTGCGGTGAGCCGAGATCGCGCCATTGCACTCCAGCCTGGGCAACAAGAGCGAAACTCCGTCTCAAAAAAAAAAAAAAACAAAATATTGGGCCAGGTGCGGTGGCTCACGCCTGTAATCCCAGCACTTTGGGAAGCTGAGGTGGGTGGATCACCTGAGGTCAGAGTTCAAGACCAGCCTGGCCATCATGGTGAAACCCCATCTTTAAAAAAAAAAAAAAATTAAAAAAAAAAATACAAAATACTGTAGTTCCAGCTACTTGGGAGGCTGAGGCAGGAGAATCACTTGAACCTGGGAGGCAGAGGTTGCACTGAGCTAAGATGGTGCCACTTGCGCCGGGCGCGGTGGCTCAAGCCTGTAATCCCAGCACTTTGGGAGGCCGAGGCGGGTGGATCACGAGGTCAAGAGATCGAGACCATCCTGGTCAACATGGTGAAACCCCGTCTCTACTAAAAACACAAAAAAATTAGCTGGGCATGGTGGCACGTGCCTGTAATCCCAGCTACTCAGGAGGCTGAGGCAGGAGAATTGCCTGAACCCAGGAGGCGGAGGTTGCGGTGAGCCGAGATCGCGCCATTGCACTCCAGCCTGGGTAACAAGAGCGAAACTCCGTCTCAAAAAAAAAAAAAAGATGGTGCCACTGCACTCCAGCCTGGGTGATGGAGTGAGACTCTGCCTCAAAAAAATTAAAAAAAAAAAAAAAAAAAAAAAGAAAAAAGAAATTATCCTAACACTTGAGAGTGAACCTTCATGTAAACCAAGAAATTTTCTCCTTTTTTCTTTAACTTTTGCATTTTTCGTAGAGATGGGGTTTCACCATGCCAACCAGGCTGGTCTCTTAACTCCTGGTCTCAAATGATCTGCACCGAGCCGATTTAACATTTTGATACTATTTTCTCACATGGTGAGGAAAGATGTCTAAAACGGTAATCCCAGGTAACACTAATATTTTTAGTTTTGTGTTTTAAATTTTTCACAATATAGAGCAAAATGAGTTGCTTTTTTGGATCTATGACACTAATCCTTTTGCAACAAAAAGCGGTGGAATCTCTTATCCTAGAGCCCATCTTGGTATAGGACTTAGAAAAGCATTTACTAACCAAGCAGAAATTGGATATGCCCGCGGGGCTTTAAAGGTCCATTTATCACCTACTTCTACCGACCAGACGTGGGGGTGGGGGGAGGATAAAAAGATTAAAAGGCAGAGTTCACGCTCAATTTTGACCTGAAGACGGAAAGTTTCCACCTGCTTGCATTTTCGCCTCAGGTGTAACCTGAAGGAGTTCCCAAGCAGGGCGGGGACTTCTGCCGCTCCTGGGGTTGAAGCTGAATCAATAGACCCAGGTCCTCGGTGCAGCTTCCCTCCGACGGGGATCCTCAACCTCAGGAGTGGAGCCCCGGCCTTTCCTCTGCCTGCCGGGCGGTTTCTTCTAATCATCCAGCTCTCTCAAAGCTCCCGGGTCTGCACTGGTGCTCAGTGGCTTGCCCTCTCCATGTAGCTCCCCTGGATGGCGACGCGCCAGAGGCACTGCCCCAGGTTCCAGCTCGCGTCGCGGCTTTCCTCCGCATTTGCACCGCTGCAGGCTCCCTAAGGGAGTACACCCAACGTGGGTTTGGCAGAGCTGAGAGAAGGAACGATCCCTCTAGTCTCAGAGAACTTATTCCTCCAACTCTGCCAGGCAAGAAGCCACTTTCCCACATAGAGGCAGCAAGCACCGCACCCTTGGCTCTCCGAACAGCGGGCCCTGATTTTGGAAAATCCGCTCCTTAGGGGTTTCACTTACCACCTGGACTAGAGAGGGCGGCACTATCTTATGTTGAGCACCTACAACCTGCCAGACTCATTTAATTCTTAGAAAATTCGTGTGAGATGGATGTGAATATCCCCACCTCACCATGAAGAAACTGAAGTCCGAGGATCCCAGTACTTGGAAACCCCAGTGGAGGTGATGCCAAGGCTGAGCATTTTCTGGTCCACCGCTTTGCCTCTCAGGAACCCCTGAGTGTACTTCCCAGGAGAAAGGGGATTCGAGCCGACAGCCGCCATCCCTTTTTCAAGAAAAAAGCTACGTATGGTTCCTGGCATTAGGATAGGTAACTTTGGCTTTAAGATGATTTTAGAATTAACGTGTGTTCACTGCATACATTTGGAAAAATAAAAGTATTACCCGGAGATAAATTTAGTCCTTCCCAGTTTTCTTCTAGGCAAACTTTTGAGATTCTACTGTATATTCAATTTTATACTCTGACTTTTCCCCTTAAATTTTACATAATAAACATTTCCCATATTGTTAGACATATACATTTTTGTTACATTCTTCGCTGTTTGTAATTTGTATTTTCATTTCACTTTGGGGC